CATGAGCTGGCCGGCGCACCTGCCAATCAATCCCTGCTGGAGCAGCGGCGCTGGCGGGGAAATCATTGCGAGTCCTCTGGCTCTGCCGGGACATGGAGCTTTTTTTAATTAAGAAGAATGGAGGATGCTGCTGACTCTGGAAATGACAGTATTAACTTACTAATGGGCATTTAAAGAGCCATTTCTGAGTGGTCTGCCGCTGCCCTCCCCAGACTGTGGCCTCTGCTCCTAGCCCAGCTGCCCAGACGCCCAGGTCTGGTGCAGCTGCTGCTCCCTCTCCGTTAGGTGGGGGAATTCCTTCCACCCGTGGGTGTCTCAGTGGGCCCAGCCCCTCGCACCAGGGACACATGGACACAATTTTTCTGGTTTTAGAGGAAAACGCTAGAATGGGGATGTTTGAACCTGTGTGTTCTCTGCCTCCTGCCCTGGCGGCCCCTGGAGGCCACAGGTCCTCCAGGAAGGTGGGGAGCCCTCTCCCCAGGAAGCAAGGCTCTAAGCATCCAGTCCATTGGCAGCATCCCCAGGCCCAGGACTGAGGGAAGGGAAGGGGGCAGGTGTGGCAACCTGACAAGGTCCCCTAGAAAAGTCCCTTTCGCGGCTTCACAGACTGGCAGTACCTATAAGAGTCGGGCAGCAGATCCTGTGTGTTTCCATCCCCAGGAGGACGTGAGGCCATCCTTTTAGAATGCTATGGCGCCTTGGCTAGGTCACCCTTTAGGCCTGTCACCCTTTCTGTCCCTGGGAGTTATGACTACCCCAGCTCAGAGCAGTCGCATGCTGCTCTCTATCTTCCTTCTCAGACTCTGCACTTCGGCAGGCACTTGCCAAGACAGGCAACCCAACACATGGAGTCTGGAACCTTCCCTGACAGTCTAGTTCCTTTCCTGTTCCTAGTGTCCCCCTTGGGTGCCACTCTGCATGCCAGACCCCCAGGCGGCTGTGTGAAAGTTTCTGACACCCCTGGGCAGAAAATCCTGCCCTGTCTGGTGCCCATGGTAAGCTCCATCTCCTCCTAGATGGTTCTCAAGAGCCCAGAGGGTAGCCAAGGGAGCCTCTGAATGTTCCCGTCCTGTGTTCATCATCTCACACACCCAGTGGCGGCTTTCCCACTTTCTGTCTGAATTGTGTAGCTTCTGAGTCTGAAAACAAGACCCTTTGGCCATCCCCTCTCCTCCCATACCTGCTTCCCAATAGACCTATTTGACCAAACTAGGCAAGAGGGGGTGCACTGCACAGACTCACTCCCTAACTGATGCCCCTGGGCCCCTCAGGGCCAGTAGCCGAGATGCTCTGAAGGGCAGGAGCAGACGACCTGCGATTTCTGTGCTTAACCCACATAGCCTATGTGGCAGAGAGGCTGAGGCCGTTCTGCAGACCCCAGATGGCCACACTAGGGACAGATGCAGATTCTGACTACTGGCACTAGCTCCTCTCAAATCTACTTGATCCCTAAATATTTGGGATCAGGTCACCCAAGCAGAAAGCCTCGGGACTACTTCAAGTGATTCTTGGCCCACTGGGCTAGTTCGTTCACTGTCAGAGCCCAGAGCTGAGGTGCCTCTTCCAGTGTGTGAACACCTTCCCCTTCCTTATGTCAGACCTAACTCCTTGGCCTGATGACTTGCATCGCATGAGCCCTGAGTTTCTTTTCTTTTAAAAGGGGTTGAGCAGGTGGGCCAGAGTGATATAGTACAGCGGATAGGGCATTTGCCTTCCACACAGCCAACCCAGGTACTATCTTGGGCATGCCATAAGCTCCCCCGAGCACTGCCAGTAGTTGTCCCGGAGTGTTGATCCAGTAGTAACCCCTGAGCATCACCAGGTGTGGCCCAAAAGCATAAAAGAAAGAAATAGGGTGAACTCTGATGCCGAAGAGATAATAATAGTGGATAGGGCTTTTGCCTTTCATGCAGCCAACCTGGTTTGATCCCAGCACCACATATGTTCCCTTGAGCCATGCCAGTAGTCAAGGGAATGGGTCAAACACAACACCATCAGGGATCAAAACATATTGTTTTTAAGACAGGCAGGTTGTATGGTGGAAGACAGAATTGGACTTCTCGTGCTCCTGTCCTGTGCCCTGGATGGATGTTGCTGCAATGACAGGGGTCACATGTTTCATAGCAGTGCTTGGACATGCTCCATGGTGCTCAGAGGACCACACATCACTTTAAGGATTGGGCTTTTCGTCTGCACTTCATGTAATATATGCATAGACATATAAAATGATGTACACCTAAAACCTACATAACATTATAATGCAATGCTGTTTAAAAATTTTAAATAAAGGGCTCAAGAGACAGTATAGCAGGTAGTACAATTGCCTTGCATGCGGTCAACCCAGGTTTGATCCCTGGTACTCCATATAGTCCCCCAAGCCCTTCCAGGAGTGATCCCTGAGCTTAGAGCCAGGAGTAAGCCCTAAGCATCAAAAAGCAACCAACCAACCAAAAAAACAAACAAACAAAATGAATGGTTTACTAGACCTTTGCAATCTGTCAGAAGTTGAACTGAACACTTCATTAGAATTGCCTTTTTCATCTTCACCCAAAAAATTACAACATATATTTATACCATGAACTGTTACTCAGAAATAACAAAGAATGAACTATTGATACTTGAATGAATCTCCATGGATTAAAGTTGAGGGTGGGGCATATCATAACAAAAGGCCATATATCATATAATCTTATTTATCTAACATTTTCCAAATGACAAAGCTATGAAAATGGAAAACAGGTTAGAGTTGTAGAAGTCAGGGAAAGGGACAGGAGAGAAGTAGATGTTATATAAAAGGGCAATGTGAAGCATTCTTGTGAGGCATCTTCAGATGAGGGGCTAAAGAATGTGTGGTCCGGGGACCAGAGAGATAATACAACGGGTGAGGCCCTTATTTAACATGCAGCTGACCTGGGTTTGATTCCTGGCACCCCTTATAGTGATTCCTGAGTGTAGAGTCGGGAGTAAGCCCTGAGCACCACCAGGTATTGCTCAAAAACCAAAAACTAAAAAAATAAGTTGTATACACCATGGAATACTACTCAGCTAGGAGGAAAGAGTAAACCTTGCATTTTGCTACAACCTGGCTAGAACTAGAGGGTGTTCTGTTAAGTGAAATAAGTCAGAAAGAGAAAGACAGAGACCAGATGATTTAACTCATGTGGAATATAAAGAAACAGAGCCAGGGAACAGACAATGGCCAATGAAAACAGAGCCTCAGATTCTGACAAGAGAACTGGGTTTACCAGGTTGGATGGTGAATGACAAAGGATGGAGAGATGGGGTGGAGAGAAGGATCTAGGACCAGAAATTGGGAGTGGTGGTGTGTGGGCTGCAGCAGCCTTGTTTGCCTAAAACTAATAAATATTTACACCATTGTAAACCATATTATCCCAATTTTTAAAAAAAAAATCCTTGTGATTATGTAAATGTTCTGTAGAGTGAGGAATCCATTTCCATATCCCAAATATTATAGGATATTGCCACTGAGGGAACTGGATAAAAGATGTAATTTCTTTTTTGTTTTGGGGGGCCACACCGAGTGATACCCAGAGACAGGACTTACTCCTGTCTCTCTTCTCAGTAATTACTCCTGGCTGGGCTCAGGGGACCGTATGGGGTGCAGGTGATGAAACCAGGTCGCCAAGTGCAAGGTAAGTATTGCTCGGGGCGTAGGGGTGTTATAAATTCCCATGGATCTACACTTTAATCTCAAATAAAAAGAATGCTCATATAACATACAGAAACCAAGGCTCTGTGTAGTTAAATAATTTCAGAGTCAGGATTTAAACCACAAGGCCAGAGAGATGCTCCTCCCGGACACCAACCCAAATAAGTGATCCCGGAGAGCAACCCAGCACAGGTCAGAAGTGAAACGACAAAAACCAAAGAATTCCAACCCCGCATGTCAAACACGCCCAAGCGGGAGACTTTCCAGACCTGTCTGGACCAGGACGCAGGAAGGCCCGCGTCTGATGTTCTCCGGAACATCAGACCAGGCGCACCTTGGTCTGAGGCCTCCTCCGCCACCCTTGGAGGTGGTGGCCTAAAGGAATAAGCTGGCGAGCCCCGCGGGTGGTGCTGCGGGCCGGGACTGGGAGTCCAGGTTCTGCTGGCCCAGGTTTGTGAAGTGGGGCGGAGTGTGTGTCTGCGTTGGTGTCTCTGACCGAGCGTCGCCTCTCTGCGGCTGTGGTCGCTTCCGGCCGCGTCCAGGGGGGGATCGGGGCTGCTTGAGGCCCCGAGCGCGGGCGGCGGAACCCCGAGCCCGCGGTGCGTTGGGGCGCACCTGTCCAGCTGGCGCGTGCCACACCCACAGCGTCGCGCCCGCCCCCTCCCCCGCAAAGCTGAGCGGGGAGCGGCCAGTCCCGAGCAGGGGGGTGCGCGCCGGAGACTCCCCCCACCCCCACATCGGGTAACTGGACTCTCCGCCTCCTCGGCCCCCAACAAACCCCAGCTCGGCGCCGGAGGCAGTCGGCGCGCGACCTCGGACCCCCAGACCCCGCGGCCCGGCTTCCTCCCCACGCGGGCGCGGTCGGGGCGCGCGGCTCGGCACAGGTGCGCGGGGTGCGAGGGGTACCGGGGTGCGCGGGGTGCATGGCAGCCAGCTGCTTGCTGCTCTCTGCGGGTCGGCAAGGACACCGCGCCCTCCCGCTGCTGCCCGCGCCGGCTCCCGGGTGCTGCGCGGCTGGGCGCGGGGCGTGGGCGGGTGGCGGCGGCGGCGGGGGTGGGAGGTGGAGGGGTGGGGCGAGAAGGTGTCAAGTCCCGGCCCCGCGCCCCGAAGCATCCAGCGGGGCCCCCGCACCCCCCGCCGCGGGCTCCCGGGTTTCCCAGCCTCGGGCGGGGAGAGGCGGGACAAAGCGACGTGGGGCGTGAGGCCGCCGCGGGGGTGGGTGGGTGGGGGGTGCCCGTAGCGTCTCCCCGGGCAAGTTGTCCGGGAGCTGGGGAGCCCGCGGGCCGCCCTTGATTCGCCCCCCCCTTCCTCCCGCAGGGCCCCCCCACCAGCGCCCGCCGCCCGGCGGCCGCGGACACCGAGGCACCGGGACGCGCTGGCCGGCGTCGGGGCCCTGGCCGGGGGCCGGGCGGGAGCCGGCGCGCCCCAGCGGGATGCGGGCGGCGAGAGGGGGCGCAGAGTAGCCGGCCGGCCCCCGGGCTCGCCCCTCCTCCCGCGCCCTGGCGCTGCGCGGGGCTGCCATGGAGGTGCCCAACACCAAGGACTTCCAGTGGAAGCGCCTGGCGCCGCTGCCCAGCCGCCGGGTCTACTGCTCCCTGCTGGAGAGCGGGGGCCAGGTCTATGCCATCGGGGGATGTGACGACAATGGCGTCCCCATGGACTGCTTCGAGGTCTACTCCCCCGAGGCCGACCAGTGGACCGCCCTGCCCCCGCTGCCCACCCCCCGCGCCGGGGTGGCCGTCACCGCCCTGGGCAAGCGCATCATGGTGATCGGGGGTGTGGGCACCAGCCAGCTTCCCCTCAAGGTCGTGGAGATGTACAACATTGACGAAGGCAAGTGGAAGAAGAGGAGCATGCTGCGCGAGGCCGCCATGGGCATCTCCGTCACAGCCAAAGGCGAGTGGGGCCTGGGCTGGGGGCGGGCAGAGATGGGGTGGAGAGGGGGGCGGGTCTGGGGGCCACACCCGGAGAGGGATGGAGCCCGTGCTCACTTGAAGCCCTCCGTATGTTCTCCTTCCTTCTTTGTTTTTGTTTGCAGTCCACCGCTGGCCCAGCTCACTGGGGTCTATTCTTGGTTCTGTGCTTGGGGATCACTCATGGAGGTGCTCAGGGGACCAGAGCGAGTGCCAGGGATCTAACTGGGTCAGCTGTGCCAGGGGAACCCTGCCCTGCTGCTCTGTGCTGTCTCCCCCGACCCCTTCTTTGATCCTTACAATAGGCCCTACAGCTAGAGCCCCACAAGCCTTGTTTTACAGCCCCAGAGCCAGCAGGTCAAGTGTCTTAAATTCCGTATGACGTGGGAGGGTCCTGCCCCCAGGCTCCTGCCAGCAATTGTGCATGCCTGGCCAGAGGGGCAGTCTACATGTAGTTGCCTCCCTTGGTGGACTCTCCCTTCAGCAAAATGGCGTTCCCCGCCCAACAACCCAACATCTCACCCCTCTGCAGGTGCCAAAACCCACAGGCACATACTTGGGCGCTGGGTATGGGCATTGCATCCTACACCATGGCCAGGCCCCAGTGGAAAGTCTGGGGGTCCACTCCTCTCACTCTCCATCTGACTCCCAAGCTCAGAGATGCTTATGAGTGGAGACTAGAATGTTCCAGAGCATTGTGCTTCCGTAGCATCTTGTCTGGGCTCACTAAACCCCAGGAACATCAACCTTTAGCCTTGTGGTTCTCATTTCACTTTCTCTAAGCTCTTCGTTTATTTCCCTTGTGGCCGAAGCAGCCCAGGTACAAAGGGGGCATCCAGTAGCCTTGCGCTGAGTAACATACAAGAGGTTTTATGAGAAATGGTCCAGCAGGAATTAGGAGGACCTCAAGTTCAGACTTACTGGCATGCAACCTTACTCTTGCAAAAGACATCCCGGCTGCCTGTCGGGTCTTTGATGGATCAGGAGCCCGCATTCCTTGCACACTGGTTCTGTGCCTGACACAGGTCTCAGTCCCAGGGAGAAAGGAGGCAGATCTGTTCCCGCCTTGAGGAGCCTGGTTTGACTAATGACTGTTATCAGAGAGAAACTAGCCTGGAATCTATCAGGGCAAATTTGCCACGGATTCTCCGTGAGTTCCCATTAAGAAGGGTGGAAAGCATGGAGGTTCATGGGGGAAATGAGCAGAGTACTCCTTTAACCCCAGGCCTCAGTAAGTAGTGCATTTATCGAGCCCTTACATAGGTGCTTTAACTCCCTGTAAACCCCTTTGATCCTCACAATCTGTCTTAGGAGCTAAGTGCTGTTATTTGTTCATTTGAGAGAGAAGCACTGTGAGGCCCAGAGAGGTTAAATAAATCGTGCAAAGTGATATAACTGGTCATGATGGAGGCCATACTCTTAATTACCAGATGCTGACACTCAGGATTAACAAATTCTTCAGGATCTAATAATCTTATTGGAAGAAACAAAGATGTTTTCAGTAAATAGTGCTGGTGCAGGAGTGCTGATGCCAGTGTGGTGATGTGTGAGCATGGTGATACAGATAGGGTGACAAGGTGTGATGCTGTTGCAGGTGCGATGATGCCGGTGTGGTGATATAGGCTTCAGGAGTCACAATACAGATGTGTGATGCTGTAGGTGTGGTTGTGATGTAGGTGTGATGGATGGCACAGTTGTGATAAAAGTATGGTGATGGTGACAGTTGTAGTGATACAGGTGTGGTAATGACAAATATAGTGATGAGTTATGGTGCAACATGATGATGACACAGGTGTGATTTCAGTTTGATGATGATGCAGGTGTGAATATGATACAGGTGGAGTGTAGGATTGATGATGTAGATACAATGATGGTACAGGTGTGGTAAAGCAGATGTAACAATACAAGGTATGATGATGCAGGTGTGGTAATGATAATAAGTATAGTAATATAAGTGTGATGATACAGGTGTGTTCATAACACCTGTGTGGTGATGTTGGTGTGATATGATACAAATGTGATAATATTGTAGGTGTGATGACGATACAGGTGTGATGGCACTATCATGACACAGGAATGGTGATGGTGAAAGTGTGATAACACAGATGTAGTGATGCAGGTGCGATCATACAGATGTGATATACATGTTGTTTTAGGTGTGATGATGCAGATAAGATAACGTTGGAGTGGTGATGCAGGTGTGATGACAATGCAGATGTGATGGGGCAGGTGTAATGATAGTTTGTGATCCATCCCACCTGTGATGATGATACAGGTACCACAATACAGGTATGCTGATACAGGTGGGAGGCTGTAGGTATGGTGATGCAGGTGTGGAGATGATGTGGGTGGGATGATGCATCTGTGAAAATGACACATGGGTGATGATAGTACAGATGTCAGGAAGCACATCTGATGGTAGTACAGGTCTGATGATGCAGGCATGGTGATGGGATCAGTGTCGTTATGCAGATGTGATGATACAGGTGTGATGGTGATACAGGCAACATGATACAAGCATGCTGATGATACGGGTGTGATAATACAGGTGTGATGGTGCAGACAAGGTGATGGTGTGAGTGTGAGGTTGCACATGTGTCATACAGGTGTGATAATAAGGTATGGTGATGCAGACATGGATGGCTTGAGTGTGTGTAGATGCAGGTGTATGATAATGATACTGTTGTGATGGTGATCAGGTGTGAGGAAGCATGTGTGCTGATGATGTTACAGATGCGTTAATGAGTGATGATGCAGATGTGGACGTCGTGAGTGTGGTGATGATCAGGTATGGGGATGCAGCTGTGTTGATGATGTTACAGGTGTGCTAGTAAGAAGTGATGATGCAGATGTGGATGGGATGGGTGTGATGATAATCAGGTGTGGGGATGATCAGGCGTGAGGATGCAGCTGTGTTCGTGATGTTACAGACGTGGGGATGCAGGTGTGGTGATGATCAGGTGTGGGGATGCAGGTTTGGTGATGATCGGGCATGCTGATGGTGTGGCATAATCATGAAGAATGAGGCAGGTGCCACGGGAAGCAGTGGCGAGTGCTCCCAGGGCCACCCAGGGGAGCAATTGGGTATGGGTGTGGTGCAGATGGGAGGACTCTGCTGGAGGCCTGTCCCGTTGTAGAGGGCCTGTTGATGGAGTGAAGTGCTTCCTTGGGAAACCCCATCTCCTATCTTTAGGCTAGTAGAGGAGTTTTCTTTTTCTGTTTTCCTTTCAGTAGAAACTAAGAAAAATTACACTGTCCCTGTGGTACCCTTGAAAGTAAAGACTTCAGGGCCAGCAGCAGTGATGACCTGGGAGAATCCAGGTGTCTGGGGACAGGGTGGCAGGAAGCTGTTTTCTGGCAGGCCGTGACCCAGGGAGCCCCAATTTCTTGCCCATCTTCTATGGATGCCAAGGAAGAATGTACCTTGAGAGATGGCCTGTAGCCCAGAGCACCCTAGCGCAGGAGGGAAGGGGGTGGTCCTCCCTGTCCTCGGAGCACCTGTCTTGATTCCAGGGTGCTTTCTTTAGATCCAGCCCGTGCCCTTGAGCCTCACTCTCATGGCCAAGTCCTCTCCTGCTGAGCCCGGAGCGCAGAGTGCCTCCCTCCTGGAGCCCACCGCTCCCTGGTGGAGGAGGACTGCGTCACCTCCACGGGGCAGTGGCAGTGCTGTGTCCTACGCAGCCGTTGCAACAGGACTGATCTCATTTCAAAGGCTTTGGCATGTCCTGCAGAGATCCACCCTGGGAGTGCTGGGCATGCTCTTCTGTGGCCTGGAGGAAGGAGGGTGGGGGCAGGAGGACAGTCCTGCAAAGGGCTGTCCAGGCCCAGCTCCACCACGGTCTGCTTCTGTGTTGGGCACTTGATGGCACCACAGAAGGTCTGTGAGCCTGGAATGGGAAGACCCAGGCTCCTCCATGGCAGGCACTTTGGGGATTGCCCCCCGCCGGAGACAGGGGAGCAAGGGGCGTTCCCGATAATGCTCATCAAGCCAACCACGTGGTTCAGTGCTCAGGCCTGAGGATGTAGAACTTTTGGGTGCTGCAGTGTTAAGGACCAGCAAGCCACACCTAGCAGTGCCCAGGGGGCCCTGTGGTGCTGGAGTCTGAACCCATGTCCCAGCAGAGATTATGCCTCTGACTACCAGCTGTATCCCCAGCCAGTAGTGGGGCAGGGTTGTATTTTTGTCTGTTTGTTATTATTGGGGGGCCACACTGGTGATGCTCAGGGGTTCCTTCTGGCTCTGCACCCAGGAACCACTATTGACAATGCTCAGGGAACCATATAGGATGCCAGGGATCAAACCCAGGTTAGCCGCAAGCAAGACAAGCACCCTACATGCTGTACTATCATTCTGGCCCCATGTGGCAAGGATATTTTTTTTGCCTTTTTGGGTCACACTGGCAATGCGCACAGTTACTCCTGGCTCTGCAGTCAGGAATTATTCCTGGAGGTGCTCGGGGGACCATTTGGGATGCTAGGAATCGAACGTTGGTTGGCTGTGTGCAAGGTAAACACCTTCTCGCTGTGTTATCACACCAGTCACCGGATTTTTTATTTTGTGTGGGTATGTGTGATTTGGGGGCCATACCTAGTGATGCTCAGAACTTATTCCTGGCTCTGTGCTCAGGGATAACTTCTGGTGGGGCTCAGGGGACCATATGGGATTGTGAGTATGGAACCCAGGTGAGTCACATGCAAGGCAAGCACCCTGCCCACTGTCTTATCTCTCTGGCCCCATTGAGGCAGGGATTTTTACAAGCATTATCAATGCCAGAACCACAGTCATGGCTCCATGGCCGAGCTGCATTGGGGAGCCTGGCCTGGCCTCAGAGCTGATGTCCAGGAACTAATCCCGTGGGGTGAGTACTCAGGCCTGTGCATGCTGAGCCAGGGTGGCCATGTCCCCTTCTTCTTCAGATTACCGAGTGTATGCAGCAGGTGGCATGGGCCTGGACCTCCGTCCACACAACCATCTCCAGCACTACGACATGCTCAAGGACATGTGGGTGTCACTAGCACCGATGCCCACACCGAGATACGCCGCTACCTCCTTTCTGCGAGGTTCCAAGATCTACGTGCTGGGTGAGGCTGGGCCAGTTCTCTGCCCTGTGTGCCTGAGTGTCCCCTTGGCATGTGGGGCCTCCCTGTGTGATAAGGGACCAGGCAGGAGGGGAAACCCCAACCCCAGGAGCTAACTCTTGTGCCCACCTCTCCCCCTGCCCCCCGCCCCGGTCCTCCAGGCGGGCGGCAATCCAAGTATGCGGTCAATGCCTTTGAAGTCTTTGACATCGAGACTCGCTCCTGGACCAAGTTCCCCAACATCCCCTGTAAGCGGGCCTTCTCCAGCTTTGTGGCACTGGACAACCACCTGTACAGCCTGGGTGGGCTGCGGCAGGGCCGCCTCTACCGGCAGCCCAAGTTCCTACGGACCATGGACGTGTTCGACATGGAGCAGGGTGAGCTGGGTACCCGGCTGCTCCCTTCCCACCTTCTCCCCCATCCCTCCTCCCTGGCCTCATCACCCAGCTAGGGGGAGCCTTCCAGAGGCCAAAACACTCCTCTCCGTGCTGCAGTGCTCGGGATCAGCTACTTTTATGGGCACGGGGCTCCCCCTGGTTGTGGGTTTGTTTTAGAAAAGGTTTCGACCTGCTGGCTTTTACAGCGTGTTGAGTGGGGGTGGGGGCCTTGCTTCCCACTCTCAGTAGATGGGGCTGACACCCCCCCTTCACACCCCGCCATTGCCCAATCTGCCTCTATCCCCCTTCTCTGCACTTAGGGCCTCAAGGACAGGATGGGGCACAACTGTGGATCACGGTGGCTGCCCATGGGTTCCTTTTGGTGAGGCCCCGAAGGGCATTTCCCAGCAGTTGGAGACTGCCTCGGGCTCTGCTTAGAGCAGTCAGGTTAAATACTGTCTCTGGTCTGTCCTGCTCCATGCCTGTAGGAGGCTGGCTGAAGATGGAACGCTCCTTCTTCCTCAAAAAGCGGCGTGCGGACTTTGTGGCCGGACCGCTGAGTGGACGGGTCATAGTGGCTGGAGGACTTGGTAAGCATGACGCCTCCAGGTGGGGGATAGAGGTCCAGGGCTGGGGGGCGGGGTGGTGGCAGGGAACCCTTGGCCCCAGCTCCATGCATCCCCCCTGCCTTCATTTTTGTTTCAGAACATTTAGTTACCCTTTGGCCCAGCCTGGGCTTCCCCTATCAGCCCCAAATGTGGGGGGTTTTTTTTGTATTCTTTTGTTTGGTTGGTTTTGTTTTGTTTTATTTTGTTTACCTTTTGGGTCACACCTGGCGATGCACAGGGGTTACTCCTGGCTCTGCACTCAGGAATTACTCCTGGCGGTGCTCAGGGGACCATATGGGATGCTGGGAATCGAACCTGGGTTGGCCGCATGCAAAGCAAACACCCTACCCGCTGTGCTATCACTCCAGCCCCTTTTTTTTTTTTTTTGAATAACACCCGTACTCCTGGCAGTGCTGGGGGACCATATGGGATCCCGGGGATCGAACCCAGGTCAGTAGCATTCAAGGCAAACACCCTACCTGCTGTACCATCACCCCGCCCCCTCCCCAACCCCCAACCCTCAATCCACCCGCAATGTGATCTTGACCTCTCACATTGCATGGAAAACTGAGGCCCAGCCTGAGCTTGCAGAGGGGAAGACTGGAGGCTGTGCAGGAGTGACCAGAGATGGGAGTGTGGGGGCATGCTGGCCCTGGCACCCATCTCCTCCCACTGGGCACTTCGTCCTGGGTGTGAATTGGGCTCACCCAACACTGGGCCAGGCTTTGCTAGCTGATCCCTGATGACTACATTTTAAAACAAGGCCCTAACAGAGCTTGTGGGAGCCCCATTTTCTCAGCCACTAATGAGAAGAGCTCAAGGGGAGCAAGGCCGTAGGGGTCCCCCTTTCCTTTAAAAGACAACAGGGCTGCAGGAGGATCCAGAAACTTCTGGTGAAGGTGGAGAGTGGGGATAGAGAATGTCCTCCTGGTCGGGAACTGAGTTTGGACTGCAGCTTCCTGTGGCCCCCAAACAGCGCCACCATGACCTAAGTGGTCCCCACAGCTGCAGGGCCCAACATCTCGGGCCCAGCATTCCAAGGAACAGTCTGTGGGTTCTCTGAGTACCACTTGGGATCCCCCATCCGATGGATGGAAGGAAAGAAGGAAGGAAGGAAAGAAGGAAGAAAGGAAGGAAGGAAGGAAGGAAGGGAGAGAAGGAAGGAGCAAAGGAAGGAAGGAAGGAAGGAAGGAAGGAAGGAAGGAAGGAAGGAAGGAAGGAAGGAAGGAAGGAAGAAAAAAAAGAAAGCGGGAGCTGGAGTGATAGCACACTGGGTAGGGCATTTGCCTTGCACACAGCCAACCCAAGTTCAATTCCCAGCATCTCATATGGCCCCCTGAGCACCGCCAGGAGTAATTCCTGAGTGCAGAGCCGGGAGTAACCCCTGTGCATTGCTGGTGTGACCCAAAAACCAAAAAAAAAAAAAAGGAAGAAAGAAAGGAAAAAAGAGAGGGTGGGAAGGAAGGAAGGGAGGGAGAAAGAAAGAAGGAAGGAAGGAAGGAAGGAAGGAAGGAAGGAAGAGAAAGAGCAAGAAAGATAAAGAAAGGACAAAAAGAGAAAGAAATAAAAAAGAGAGAGAGAAAGAGAGAAAGCAAGCTTCTTTGTAAGGTGGTGGAAGAAGAGGGAGCAGGTGAGGACAGCCAAGTGGGTATTTGGCAGGGCCAAGGGTCAGCCCCCACGCAGACAGGAAGCTGAGGTGGCTGGACTCCATGGGGGTGAAGGGTAGGGTGGGGGTCAGTGTCTGGGTGCCCTTCTCAGGCCAGTTCCCTTGGGGCTTTCAGGGAACCAACCCACCGTCCTGGAGACAGCGGAGGCGTTCCACCCGGGGAAGAACAAATGGGAGGCGCTCCCTGCCATGCCCACGCCGCGCTGCGCCTGTGCCAGTATCGTGATCAAGAACTGCCTGCTGGCCGTGGGGGGCGTCAACCAGGGCCTGAGCGACGCTGTGGAAGCCCTGTGTGTCTCCGACTCCTAGTGGTCCCCTGCACCCCTGCCCCGCCTGGCTCCCCCTCTGACACGCAGACCAGCCCCTGCCAGCAGCCTGGGCTACTGGCCTGAACCACAGCAGCTGAGGCTGGGACAGGTACAGGGTCCTCCGTCCCTGGAGTTCCACCCCCTCCAGGATGGGGGAGGGCGGTGGCTGGCCAGACAGAGGATGAGCATCTGTGCTGTCTTTCCCCGGCTCAACCAGCTTGAAGGTCTCTTGGGCTGGAAAATTGGGGTGGACTCGTGGCGGGAGGGCCAGAGGGTGGGGAGAGATGGGTGGTCAGCCTCTCTGCTCTCCCATGGTCAGCGTCCCCTCCTTTGGGCTGTCCCTCTGGGCCTGCCTGGCTCTCATCTATCTACACAGCAAGAATCGCCCTGCAGGATTCAGGGAAGGGAAGTAGGTTCACACGGACGGGTGCAGCCCGGATAGGAAGGACCCAGACCTCTCGGGGGTCCTCAACGGGAAGGTGGGCCCGGAAGAGACACCCCACCCCTCTCCCCCATTTCTCCTGTGACCCCCTCCTAGGGTGTGGGAGGGGGTCTGTGGGCCTCAGCAGCTCCTGCGAGTGTCGACCTTCTCATTCACACTGTGTACCCCAACCCACAAAGGCCGGACGGCTGCACTCTGGCTAACCGCACAGCACAATGATTAAAATCTATATTCCTATCTCCGCTGGCAGCGGGACGGGGCTCAGAGGCCATGTAGGGCGGAGGGTGGAGGAAGCTCGTGAAACTGTTCCATGGTGGCCCCTGTTCTGGTCTTAAGGAGCCTCACCGGTACCTCGCCTGCCACCCGCTCCCAGGAAGGTGCCCTGCCCGGCCCTGGGAGGGGGGCCCAAGTTATCTGAAGAGCTGAGCTGGCTGGACCAGTGTGTGTGTGTGTGTGTGTGTGTGTGTGTGTGTGTGTGTGTGTGTGTGTGTGTGTATGCGTCTATCTGTCTGTCTGTGTCTGTCTCATGGGTCTTTCAGGAATGGGGTTTTCTCCCCCCCTCTGCTACCTGGGCGTCTCCTTCTCATCCCCTGGACGGCAGCGCCACCTGCTGGCAGATCAGAGGCACCAGGCGCCCACCTGGGCCCCTGATGAAAGCAGACAGGGGCGTTCTGGCTGCTTCCTGCTCCTCTCTGAGGCCGCTGGGGCAGCAGGAGCTGCAGACACTCAGCGTGACGCATCACGTCAGGGAGCCAGCCCTCATCTGGACCCTTCCATTGCTCTCTCTCTCTCTCTCTCTCTCACACACACACACACACACACACACACGTACCCCTCCCCAAACAGGGGCGCTTTCCAGAAGGAAACTTAGGACCTGAGTTGGGGTTTGGGGGTGAAGCTCATGCCTCATATATGTGAGCCCCTAGCTTTGCTCCCCGCACCACCTCGCCAGACCCCCGCCCCAGAGCATTGCTAAGTGTGGCCCTAGGGACAAAAGCAGAGGCGTAGAGAAGAGCCCTTGGCCAGGGAGAGTCCAGAGGGCCAAGCACAGGCTCTGCCCACAGGAGCTGTGGATCTGATTGTTGGCACCACATGGTCCCCACCCACTGGGTGTGAGCAGAACCCAAAAAGCCTTCTGTTGGTCCAAAGGAAGGGGAGTCGTAGGTGGGGTGGCACCAGAGCAGGTGGGTCCACAGTAGTCTTCAGTGGCAGGTCAGCTGCCTACACAGGCAAGGCTGTATCTGGGGGCATCACTCTCAGCGTCTCACTGCTCAGCAGGGGAATCTGGAAGGTCACCGATACCCCCACTCGCACCTTGTGGAGCTCAGGACCTGGGTAAGAGCAGGTGCAGACCCTTGTGTTCCCATCCACTCTGCCAAAAGCCCCATCCCTCTGCCTTCCATTACAGTGGGGGGGGGGGGGAATACCTGAGGTCCACAAGGGACACCTGAGGCCTGTGGGAGGATATCTGAGGTTTCCAGGGAACACCTGAGACCCAAGGGGACACCTGAGGTCTATGGGGGGACACTTGAGGTCCACGGGCCACACATGAGACCCCTGGGGCATACCTGAGGCCCCTCGGGCACATCTGAGGCAGGCTTCGAATCACTAAGGCAGTGGTAACCCTGTGGATTCAGGAGGTTCTATAACTAGTCCCAGGTCTCAGGCTGGTGTGCAGCTGGGCTGGGTCAGGTTCCAAGCCACATCTGTCTCAGTGAATAACGGCGAGAAAGGATAGAAATGGGAGCCTCTCACAGGCACACAGGCGGGAGGTCACAGGGCACCTGGGCGCGTGGCGGGCAGTGGGAAGCACCTCCTGTGTGAGGTGGGTGTGGAAGAGCCCAAAGGCTTGGCAGGAGAGCTCCCTTCCCTGCTCCACCCACAGCACCATGGCAACGCCCTGTGCCCAGTGGCTGGGCAAGATTCCTGCCCTCCGGGACTCTAAGAAGATGGGGCTGAATGCGAGTTACTGTGTCAGCCCTGAGTAGGCACCCCCGAGGCTCCCCACCAGTGGTGGCTGCAGAGAGGAGAGGAACAGAGGGGGAAGATCGGGTCTCTAGGAAATGAATCTCCAAGGGCTCTGAGAGAAGACAGAGATGACGGGAAGGGAGCGAGGGAGCTGCTTCCCACTGCACCGTCCACAGGCGGGCTGACAGCCCTGGGCATGTCACTCTCAGGCTGTTTCTGTAGATGTAAAACAGGTGACAAGGGCCTTGCTCCGAGGCAAAGAGCCCCTGCTGTCTGTACAGTGATTTGGGTGCACAGGCGGTCACTGCATTCTAGGTTTGAGCTCAAGGAGGGCAGTGTTCTTCTGTCCAGTGAGGAAAACGGACAGGACCCCTGTGTGGAGAATGCAGGGAGGGAGCTGGGAATGCAGGGTCTGGCCGTCATCCCTGGGAACTGCATGGTGTGTCCGTGAAGTCCCAGGAACTGTGGGGAGTCAGGAGCAACAGGTGAACTGGGGGTCAGGCCTCCACACCTCAGAGGGCTTCTATCTCAAATTGCCCACACTTACCCTGAGCTTTGGGCAAAGGTACAGAGATGCTGCAGGGACGCTGTGTGGGAGGCAACCATGCCTGCAACCACGCCCTGCCACGGAAGATTCTGCAGGCCCAGGGTCACCAGCAGGTACATGTGAGTAGGACGTGCTGATGAGTGCACAGGAGAGTACCACCACACACACACACACACCACCACCACCACCACCACCACCAACACACACATATGCGCACACATGCTCACAGTCTCACGCATGCATTCACGCACATACACACTCATGCACACACATGCCTAGTGGGAACTGCAGTCAGGGCCTTTGTGTGTGTCCTGAGGTTGCAGGTAGCCTTAAGACAATCAAAAATCAGTTTTTTTTGGAAGACAATATGGACATTCCTCAAAAAAAATCAGGAATTGAGGCTTCTGTATGACCCAGCAATTCTACTCCTGGGAATATTCCCCAAGGACCCCAAAACACAATGCAGAAAAGATATCTGCACTCGTATGTTCATTGCAGCATAATCCACAATAGCCCAAATCTGGAAACAACCCAAATGTCCACATGCAGATGACTGGATAAAGAAGCTATGGTACATCTATACAATGGAATATTACACAGCCATAAAGAAAGGTGAAGTGATGTGATTTGCTGACACATAGATGGATCTGGAAAATATGCTGAGGGAGAGAGAGGGAGGAACACGCACATAGTGACCTAGCTCACATGCAGGATATAAAGAAACAGTGTAGGGGAATAACTAATGCCTGAAAGCAATTCAAAACAGAGCAGGAGAACTGGTCCTTAGTGGACGCTTGCCACCGAGGGGTGAGGGAGCTGGCAGGAGATAGATCAGGGAAGAAACCACTATGACAATGATAGGGGAAAGTGGTCACTCTGGAACAGGACTGGGAACTGAAGGGAATAAAAGTGATAGGTATGATTATTAGTAACAGTATTGTAAAACAGCGCCTTAGAAGGCAAGGAGGAGTGGGGGAGGAAAAAAATAGTAATGGTGGTCAGATTGGTGTTGAAAAAATTAATTTTTCAAAAGGAAAATAGTGCCATTGCAGCAGACAGGAGGTGGAGGGAAACTGGGGACATTGGTGGAGGGAAGGGGACCTTAGTGAAGGGATGAATGTTGGAACATTGTATGCCTGGAAGTCAGTCTTCAATAACTTTGTAACTCTGTAATCCAAGTAATTCAATTTTAAAAATGTAAATTTTTTTTCTCCCCATCCCCCCTTCCTTCTTTTTATTGCTTCACCATGAGATACAATTACAAAGCTTTCATCTTAGAGCTTTGGTCATACAATCACCAAACACCATCCCTTCACCAGTGCACATTTTCCACCACCAAAATTCCCAGTATTCCCCCCCCCCCATTCCAGCCCTTCCCCTGCCTATGTGGCAGACAATTTCCACAATAATCTCTCTCTACTTTGGTTACATTCAATATTTTGACACCAGTCCCACCACCACTCAAACCTGCCAAGAAGGCAGTGCCAGAGAATTTGTTTTGTATTGCTTGTTATGGATAGAATATAATGTCGTGCGCCTGCAAGAGTGCCACTCTAGGAATTATAAAATTTCGAGAATTAGGGTCTGGAGAGATCTCTGCAGTGAGCTGCTCGGTTCCGAGATTCATGTGTGTGTCTCTGGATCCTGGCCATGTGGGAGCTTAAGTAACCGGTGGCAGTTTGTGGGCGTCATCTCTGAGTCCCATGGGGGCGGGGCAAGGAGAGGGATGGACTCCTCCCCTGCCCCCAGAGGCCTGGCGTTTGCCGCCACTGCTACTGCATTCCTGGACCTTTCATTGAGTTCTAGAAGATGGTGGCCACCGGAATTCCTAGGGGGCAGGCGGAGGGGACAGCACCTGCTCCCGCCTGGAGTGAGTGGCCCAGCAAAAGTGGCCTATTGCAAAGTCCGGAAGCACCTCTGCAGTGAGCTGCTTGGTTCTAAGATTCGTGTGTGTGTCTCTAAAAATGTAAAAAAAAAAAAAAAAAATTTTTTTTAAAGAAGAAAGCCTGAAGCTCAAGAGCACTGGGGTTTGCTGTCCACTGGGCTTCTGCATGTGACAGGCTGGGCACGTGAGCACAGGGTCAAGGTTTGTTCCAGAGGTTACAGTAACAAAAT